AAGTCCTCTAAATTCCAAAGGCTTCTAGACAGGAACTTCACTAATTATGAATTTTCAGAGTTTTAAGATAGCTACTCAACTCAACCAACTGCAGTGGCTGATTCAATCAAATAGTAACACTGGCTTAAAAGACTCTGGTCCTACAGACACTATTTAACCTTCCTCTCCTTATCTTCTGCTGGAATTTGCTCCAAATCCACCCTAAACGTCCCTGGGCGGTCAGAATTAATCAGTTCTAACTCATACCCACTTCAAGTCCAGAAATCTGATCAATTTTCCCATCTGCCACAATCACCAACATTGTAGAGGATATTACTGCCCCCTGGTGGAAATACTAAAATCTGTTTTTGAGAATGTTCCCTTAAAGATTAAAATCTTCCAAGGACGAGAACTTTCAGCAAGCTTATAGAGAAAAAACCAGCTCAGTAGAAACCTGCAGGTTAAAAGATCATGGGATCTGAGTTACTATTATCCGACTTCCTTTTCCCCCTCCCTAATCTCTCAACCGCCGGCTCAGATAGCCTCATTCGTCATCAGATGGTCTCTAGGATAGGGACCCTGAAAAGCTGAAATCTCTCTTAGACAAGACACCAGTGATCACTTTTGGACAAGGCAAAAGTCTATATTCATAAACTAGAATTAGTACAGTATTGAAATGTATGGAGAACTCGAATTCATGAATCTACAAAAACCTGGCTTCTATACAAACTTAGCAAATTTGCAAATCATCTCTTATTTCTTTCTAATTTTTCATGTTCTTTTTTTCCTGCTAACAAAGTTGAAGGATGGGTAAAAGGTCCTCAGGGACTTTTTCCCCCTGCCTGTGTGGATATACTACAAAGAGCATAAGAATCACTTTCATAGAAAGAGACTTTCCCAACAACTGCAACTTGATTCCTTCTCTGAACTCCAGCATTCTTATTTTCTAAGCTCATGGATGCCAACGCTGGCTGCCTGGCAGAGTCATTTGGACACTTTGGTGTCTTGTTATTATTGTTACTGTTTAATACAGATTCCCAGGCATTATCCATACTTCCTGAATCAGGATGTCTGACAATGCAGAACCAAATTGTTTTCATGAATGAATTAAATCCCTAAGTAAACTTTAAACTTCACGAAAAGCAGCATTTCTTTTGTATTTCTTATGTAGCTAGCACCATCACAATTAATTCTCTTTTCTCTTTCCTCACTGCCACCACTTTCATTCATACATCACAATCATCTTATGTCTGGACTATTTATTGCAACAGGTACCGTATATTGTGAGCACAGATATCCTTTCCATCCATCCTCTATCTACACTACTTTCAGAGTGGTATTTCTAGACACCAGTTAGATCATATTCCTTTGCATAAAGCCTTCTGTAGGCTCTCCATTAGGTTTATGGTAAAATTCTCGTTTCCTAGCATGACATGCAAAAGCTATGCTTCCACCGTGACTAACAACTTGTAGCTCCTCTGAACACACCACACCACTTCATGCCTCTTGGCTTTTGCTTAAAGCTCTGCTTGGACAGCCTTTTCCCCACCCCTTTCTGCAGGACTGACATAATGTTTCAACCCTCAAGGTCCTTCTTTTATAAAGCGTTTTTCTGATCATCTTCCTCTTCCCAGATAGAATTAATCACTGTACTTATAATGCTTTACTGTAATTTCTTATTCACCCCCATCTGGTAAATTACATCCTCTATGAAAATGAGAGAATTATGTCTGAGCCGTTTTTGGATCTCTGGAGCACTCCCAGGTGCTGAGCCCTCACCGCCAGCCTGTCCTGACTACCCAGGGACAACAGAATCACGAGTAGGCAGAGAAAACTAACAGCAGCAGCACCCAAGGGGAACCAAGCAAACGGACAAAGGAAGACACAGCAGGATGATGGTGGGGACTCCTGTCAAAGCAGACCTGCCAGGCGGCGCTGGGGATGGTGCTGACCCGACAGTACGATCCAGGTGTGTGACCCAGAAGTCGTCGGAATTGCACTGGTAGGTCTGAGGACAGAGAACCTGGGGGACACCAGAGCAGCACATGACATTCCCGCGGCTAAAGCAGGGGGCAAGGGTGGAGTCAACAAAGAGCACTTAAAGCACTCCGACCCCGCCCGCCACGCACGCAGCTCAGAAACGGGCCTGGAAGCCTCCATTTCAACAGAAGGGAACAGACTCCGCCCCGTCCAGAAACTAACACAACATTGAAAATCAGCTATACTTCAATTAAAAAATATTGTGAGTAGGTGCTAGGTTACCCCCTCCCCCCAAAACTGGTCCACCAAGTTAGCATTCCACCACAATGAGGAAGATGGGGAATGGAGTGAAGGCGCCACTGCCCTGACTGCAGGTTTGAGGACAACCACCTCAGCCAGGGGGAAGCAAACAGTGCCCTGCCTCTCAGCACTGCAGCCCGTGCCAGAAGCGGGGGCCCCGCCACTGCTGCCGCTGGAAAAACCGAGGCCTTTCCAGCTTTCCCGCAGAGGCACTGACTCCCCCCCTCTCCACCTTGTTCAGGTGGGAGCCAGTTGAAATGTAGACCCCAAGCTGGAAGAAAGTCTGAGAACTGTGGTCTTCCATTTTCTTAAATCTAACATAGACAAAAACATATTAGAGGGGGTTTGGAACCATGTCATCTGCCCTATTATCTGCCGTATGAGGTAGTGGGCACTTGTCATTATTTTTGTCTGTCTGGCAGAATCCCCCAGAATACTGTCTACTCATCAGTTCCAGGATGTGTTTCACCAATGCTGGATATCTCACCAATTCTAGGGATGCACACTGGTTTTTCACAGGTAAACATCACTGAAATCTGGTGCTTCCGACTCTGAAAGGCCTCTTAGATTCTCCCCCATTTAAGGGATGCCCAAGCAAAGGGAAAAGTAAGTGCTCAGGAAATGTTGGCTATTACAGTTATAGACTTCATCTAAAAAGAGGGGAAATTAATGGCAGCTGTAACATGTTTAAACTGGCTGAGCATTTCATTATAGTTAGAAACTAGACAAATAGATAACTTACTTCTGTACCATGATGCTCATATAGAGACATCTGTACATGTTACGTCTGTAGTTTGCAAATACAAAATCCCAACTATCAGTAACTGCACAGTAATTGGCAAATCGGATCCCCAACAGCACAGAAAGAACACAACCTATTCGGAGGCTGAAAGCAGAATCTGAAAAAGATTTTGAGGTAAGGTATAGGCATTGTTTATGAAAAAGTTACAAATAGAACCATGGTACACTTGTTACCTGTTGATGATTTCAACTTAAATTTTTATAAAAGACTCCACATCAGTGGGGAATTAAATAAATAAATGTGAACATATTGATCTGCAAAACTTTGTTACTGCTCTTCAGCTAAGATGCAGAGATTTAAATTGGAAAGAAGAAATGTATCTTCCGGAAGAAGACATCCTTCTGGGAGGACAAGGTATATATTATACACACTGAGGGATAAACCACTTTTAAGTTTTAGAGTTATTGTTAACCATTTTAAATGTTTTAACAGTTATTGTTAACCTTTCTAGTTACGATCTTTAGGGGTTAACACTATCCTTTGTTGGTTCATAAAGAGGACCCTGAATGTGGAGGGCGAGGAGATACTGAAGAAAGAGGCAGACCACTTCCAGATTGTTAGGCAGCAGGTTTAATAGGCAAGGGAACTTGCAAACGAGGTTTAATTTGGTGGCCAAAAGATGAGGCGTTCTCCATCCCCAGCCACAGAATCTTAAAGCAAATATGGAGGCCTTAACTGGGCTTAGTCATATACACTGTCTAGATGGTCTCAGTAACGCATAGCTCTCCCAAGGCAGCATCCTTGAAACAGCTCTGGCTATGGGACCGATGAGTGGGGCGTACGTGAAGAGAACACACAAGGACAGGGAACGGGGTGAGGGGCCTCCAGTGGCCTGGGTCCAGCTTGAGGGTCAATGGGCAGCCATGTCCTCTTGACGAACTTGTCCGACACCTGTCAAGGTGTAAGTCTTTAAGACTGACTGCCTCTTTTCCGTACTTGTTTTAATGGCTTCAGTCAGATTAAGTCTAGCTGAGCTTCTAGCATTTTGAAAGGTAAACCAGACGCTGAGCTTTGTGCTCTGCATAAGCAAACAAGTGCTCAGGACCATAAAACAGACCTCTCATTGGACTCAGTCAGGGTTGGATGCCTTCCATAGCTGTTAAGCTCCTGGATTTTGCTTATCAGAGCACTTAGCAATCTGTTATGTTAAGTGCTAGATTTCTTCTCTTCTCTCTCTCTCTCCTCAGAGGGCAAGCATCATCTCAGCCTTTTTATTTTTTTCCGTCCCTAGTACCTGACCCACTATATGCTCAATAAACTTTTATTGAATAAATTAATTGTCAAATAAATAAACTGTTGCACAATAGTCCCATGAAAAGAAACATTTCAAGGGTTTTAAGTTCAAAATAGTCCTGCCAATATATAACTCAGGTCTTAGCATAGTATCCTCCTGCAGGGAAGGGGGCAAAATTGCAAAGTAGCTCAGTTTCTCTTTATAGGAAAATCCTTTCTTTACGTTTATATAATTTCACTGGGAAATACAGCACAGATACATAAAATAAAAAAGAGAAATATATGTACAATTTAACATGTCACTTAGGACCCAGGTCAAGAAAGAGAACATTTCTAGGGCCTTCACACCCACCTACACTCCCAACTCACCTCCTGTAACACTTCTCCAAGTAATCAGAGTCTTTCCTGTCCTAACATTTACGGGAATAATTTTTGTTTTTCCATCTATGTAAAATCCTTAAACTATATGGTCTGATTTAATTCCTTTAAACAGCGAGTTGCCTCTGTTCCTCAAGATTAAGTTATGGTTTAAACTTTTAAAGAATATTTCATGTCTAGTGAGCAAAAAAAAAAAAAAAGAAAAGAAGGAATGCCTATGCAGTGCCAGATAAAAATGTCCTTCCTTATATCACACACAGATAAAATATAAAGTTTTACAAACACTAGCTATTTTCATACAATTAGGAAAGGAACATGAGAATAAAAATAATTCATAGCAGTATGTTTATTGAAGCCCTCGCTAAGCTTTCATTTACAAGCAAATATTTTCAGGGAAAAAAAAATCACAAGACAATATTTTCAAGTGTCACATCATCCACATAAAAATTAAACTCGCAGAATTTACAAATTAATTATTCTGAGCAGACAGATAAATTACACATTCTTTTCCAAAATCCAATCTACAGCATTTAAAAATTCATACAGTTACAACATGACATTCTCTCTTTACAATCTACCCTATTTACATAGCTTTTCCTACTACAGATAATACAGTTCTCATCATGGCTACCAAGGTTTGCAAACACATTATACTTAAAATATATTTAGCAGCATATAAAAAATTAGATAAAAAGGGAAAGAAATACTACTATTAAATAAAAGTGAAATGAAAAGGTGATAATAGAAACAACTCCATAGGAAAATAGATCAAAATATATTTCTGTTAGGACATCAAAAAATGTTTCCCATCACAGAACGTATGCACTAACGAAACAGTTTAACAGCATTTTAGTCCTGAGCACAGAGTAGAGCTCAGCTGCAAAACTTTGGTCAATACAAGTAAACACCAAGGTTTAACACAAACTGTTTAACATTCTGTGTTAGTAGATTAAGGTCAACTCCACTTTATGAAAAATCATCATCGATACTACTCTCACATCTCTTTTCCATGACATCAAAAGAGCTTTCAAATTTGGGAACCCTCTGTAGACTGATATAAATACTAGACAAGCAGACCACAGTTTGACTAACATTCTCAACATGTTTAAATATGTAAATCAGCTGAACAGACTATATGAATGAGTTAACAGGGGGTCACACTGTATTCCAGGTGTATTTTCTGACTGTCACAAAAAGCAGATATCTTGTATTTCAGATAATTTGAAGGTGTTTTTTTAATAGCTAGGCACAAAAATCCAGCCACGATACAAGTGCGAATCAAGCAGTATATCAATTATAGGATATATACGCATTGGTAGATATTAAAATTAAGCACACAGGATAGTACACAATTTTACCATTAATACCAATAATACCATTAATATTCAGCAGTTGGACTCAGGTATACTTCTCAGTTAATCCCATTAACAATTTTGCCTAATAAATGCAGGGCGACATTTTCCATAAAGAGCACAGAGAGCGTGATCGCAATATTCAGTTTATGACTCTCTTCGTTGTTTAACTGCTGGCAATATCTTCCCCCAGATCGCCTGTGTCAGACATCTGGCCATCTTGCAAATTCCGAGCCTTCCAAATTCTCACAGTTCGATCACTACAAAATAATAAATTAAAAATGAACATGTGAAAAGAGGTGGAAAGATAAATAAGTTCTTAGAATTACTTATCATGGAAACATTTTCTGAAAAGGCCTTTAATAGATGTAAGTAAAAATATACATTGTCCCATAAGTATATCCAACAGTTACCCATAATAATGGAATTTAAAATAGCTCCTATTATCATGGGCTTACTATGTGCCAGGCATTGTCACTATGTGCACCTTACATAGAAGCATGAATTTAATTCTCCTTGTCTACCATAAGAGATAGATAATGCTATTATCCTCTATTTACTGATGAGGAAATTGAGGTCCAGAGAAGTTAAGTAATTTGCCCAAGATCACAAAACAAGTGATAAAGGCATGATTTGAATCTAGGCAGTCTGGCTCCGGGACCCTACCTCCTAAACATTACACTGATATGACAAGGTCCGAGGTCTTCAGGCATAAGAGCCCAGAGTAAGGTCATAGTCAGGGGGCCAGGACAGGGTTTCCAGGGGCTGATGAATCTGCCACCAGTCAGGAAGAAGTATGTTCAGGTGAAATCAGCAGAAGCCCACAGGAAAAGCAGGGGGCTGTTAAGTGGACTACTGCTCTACTGAGCAAAGAACATAGAAGATTCAAAGTTTCTCTGAGAAGACTTATTTTTATTCACCCAGCACGTGGGTACTGGGGACCAGTCATTAGACAGGCACACTTTTTACCATGTCTCTCACGGCTCTAAAAAGAGAGCGTTGTTTTTCTTTAATTTCCTAATAAATCCAAAGCCAAAAAGAAAGAGTTCATAGTTAAAAAGCATTTCAAAGGTTATGCAGTCCATTTCAAGGATAAAGGAAGTTTGGTGACTTGTTCAGTGTAACACAATAGAGTACAGAGCCGAGCCTAGAATCCAGGGTTTCAAACTAGTTCTTAATCAATAATCTTCTCTCTTGTAAGAGTTCTCAACACAGGAATAAAAAACACACATTTTTCTTTTCTTTCTGTATCTACATGAGATGATGGATGTTAACCAAATTTATTATGGTAATCATTTCATTATACATGTAAGTCAAATCATTATGGTGTGCACCTTAAACTTATACAGTGTTGTACGTCAATTATATCTCAGTAAAGCTCGGGGAAAAGTAATAATCTTCTCATCAACCCACACAGCACGTGTATGTTGAAAACAGTAAGGGGATATGCTCATTCATCCACCCATTTATCCATCTCATTTACCCCATTCAACTGTTCACTCAGCACATTTTCACTGAGAACCTGCTGTGCTCTGGGCACTATTTTAGGTGCCTGGGATAAACTTAGGATAAACAAATAAATAAAAAATAGAATTTTCTGCCTTTATAGATCATACATTCTAGCAAAAGGAGACAGACAATAAACCACCATAAATAATTAGATTATAAAGTTTATTAGAAAGTAATAAATGTTATAGAAAAATAAAGGAGCATGGCAAAGGGAGCAGGAGTATCGGGTCATAGGAAGGATCACAATTTTAAATAAAATGACAAGGTTATTCTTCTTGAGAAAGAAAGAAAGAACTTAGAGGAAGGTCTGAAGGCAAAGCATTCCAGGCAAAGAGATCAGCCAGGGCATTTGCCCTAAGGCTGAAGTGAGCCTGCTCTGTTCAAAGGCCAGCAGAGAGGTGATCCGTGTTGTCAGAGAAGGAGCCCACAGAGGGCACAAGAAGGTAACGTGAGGGACAGCGGATGCTCAGAGGGAGAGGTCAGATCAAGTGTGGTCTCTACTCTACATGAAATGGACAACTACTGCAAGGTTTTGAGCCAAGAAGAAACATGATCTGACTTGTGTTTTTAAAAAATTACTCTGGCTTCTGTGCTGAGAATAGACTACATATGGGCAAGGGACCTTGTTTAGGAGGCTGCTACAGTCATCCAAGAGCTGATGGTGACCAGGGTCAGTGAGGTAGCAAAAGACATGGTGAGAAGTGGTCAGACTCTACATGTAATTTACAGGTAGAACACCAACAGAACGTGCTGATGGTGTGGATACGGAATGTGAAAGAAAGGGAAGGATGAAGGTTTCTGGTCTGAGCAACAGAGAAGACAGACAGAGAAGCCATCGACCGAGATGGAGAAGGCTACAGAGGGAGCCTCAGGAAGGATGGGAGTTCAATTTTTGGCCTGTGAAATGTAAGATGAACACCACTACTAGTCATGACAGAAAAACTTCTCTCTCCTGCTGTAAACAAAGTGAAAACGCGACAGAATCTATGGAACAACTATTTTCAGACTCTGGGCAACGGGTAGTTCAGGCTTGTGATCCCTGAGAAAAGGGAAACAGAGAAAGTAAGCTCTGGGAAGGACTAGGTTCTGGGTCCGGAAGCACTTTCCAGACCTACAGTAGGGGAAAGGGGGACCCAAACAGAAAAATCACAGAATCGGAGTTGAAGAGATAGTAAGAAACATCTGGGAAGTATGAAGTTGCTGGAACTTGTAAGACCAAGTAGAGAAGAGGAGAGAGCATGCAAAAACAACTATGGAGCTACAGGAAAAAAACTCCATAAACAGACACAGAGGTCCTCTAATATCTTTGACTGAAGGTGGAGCTGCACATGAGTAAAGACTGTAAGGCCAGACTGAAAAACAGCTCCTAGTAAGTGTAACAGTCCCCGGAGTTCACAGAGGGCTGTGAGACGTTCAAGTTCTGACCAGCAAAGCAGAGAGTATCATCAAACATCCAAAGACATTGAGTACAAATCCAAGAAGAGCTCAGAACAAGTCTCAGAAAGATGAAGCTGAACCACAAGTAACTTAAGTGCCTGACAAACAAAGCCCAACACTCTTTAAAGGAATATAATACAATCCAGACACTCAAACACAACACTGTTCAACAGTCAATAAAATATTACTTGACATAAAAAAGGAGGAAAAATGAGACCCATTATAAGAAAAATCAATGACAGCAGATCCAGAAACCAGATATGATGGAATTACTTATACAAGGACTTTGAATTCTGTAGTGCCTCAATTTTCCCACCTGTAAAATGGGGATTATCATAATGCTTACCTTCTAGAGTTCTTATGAAGACAGAATGAGTTAATGCCTGAAAGCACTTAGAACAATGTCTGGCAGATACTAAGCCCTATACAAATGTTTGTTAAATAACAAATAGGTAGAACTAATTTGAAAAGAGCCCTCTTGATTTTATTGTCTGTTTTCCTGATTTTAAGTTATGTGGTAAATACCTCTGCATCTGATGCACCATGAGTAAACTGAGGAAAATTTCAGTGCTTCAAAAATAAAACTGTATCATGGGAGAGGTACTACAGTCTCATCATACCTCATTGAACAGAGCTCAGTGACACACCATTCTTTTATAGTCTTATCTTGAGTGTCCTACAACTTTGAGGGATATTAAGTTATTTCCAGTAAATTGTCAAGATCACAAGTTTCCAAGGGAATAAACAAAAGAGGTGACTCTTAAGAAAGTAATGCATCTTGGAAATAGCATCAGTGAAGCACTGAAAGGGAGCACCTTAGAAAAACACATAATAAATTGGCTCTGATGTTCTTTAAAGATGAGAGGAAGTAAATCCAAATGAAAAGAGGGATTTGATGAAAACATCACAAATAATAAGAGACACCACAGAAATATGACACAGACTTCAAAATAAAATCAGGATTATCATGCACTTAGGATAGAAGAATCAAGAAGGTGCTCAAGCTAAATTAAGTAACATAATTGGTGCACAAATGACATAGGGAGATTTTCAAGATAGATATTCAGGAGAAATTGCATGTTATTTGAAAGAGACAAACACCTCACATTACAATAATGTCATTTTTATGGTCACATCTCTACACCTCCTTCAAGCACCTTCTTAAATGTCACTTTCTCAGTGAGGTCTTCACTGACCACTCTTATTGTGTAATCACCCCCTCCTCCCCAAATATTCTCTCCCTTGCTTTGTTTTTTCTCCACGGCACCTGTCGCCATCTGACATTTTTACTTATTCATTTTCTTTTCATCTCCTTGGAATAAAACTGGGGTTTGTTTGTGTTTTGTTCACTTCGCTATTCCCAAGAGTCTGGGACAGTGCCTGGCACACAGGAGATTCATCATAAATGAGCAAAGAAATCAATCAACCCAGCCATCCTAAGAGACAGGAAGCAGATATTAATACCACGTACTTTAAAAGAGGTGGGAGAGGTAAAAAGAGGTTTTTTTTTTTAATGATTTGTTCTAAATGTGAAGAATGGCAAGTTTGTTGCCTTTCTGGGAAAAAAAATCTTTAGACATTAGTCACTTACGAATGATTTTTAAAAAACAATTAAAATCACCAAAGGAAGATCTGACAGTAGACTTCCCAGTATAAGCAGAGAGCTGACACAGGAGTAACACTATCATCACGTAACCTGGGGAGCCCAAACTCAGTGCCCAGTGTACCTCAGAAAACATAAATAACACAGCATGAACAGCCATTAGAATAACTGTAATAAAAGAAGGATTTCATATGTTCTACATTTCCAGATACTGACAATTTAGAGCACTTATTAAATCTGAACACAAGCAACCAACATAGAGAAAGATCACACAGGAAAAACTTACTCAGCTGCAGTAAAGACGTGGGTGGAATTAACACAGATGGCATTGATAGGGCTATCATGACCTTTCATCTCTCCGACTGGCACAAGGTTATCCATGTTCCAGAGTTTCAAAATGCCCCCTCTGCAGCCACTGAGCAGAACGGGGTGGCCTGGCACCATTCCCAGGGCACAGACCCAATCCTTGTGTGCGTTCGGAACTTGCTGAGAGAAAAAAGAAAAATTACCAGCGTAAGAGGAGACTTCCGAACTGAATTTTCATATGAAAACAAGTTACAAAAGTTTTTACTGACAAAATTCAATATTTGGAACACTGAATTGGCCTGGAAACTATAAAAATCATTTTTTATGCAATCACTCTTAGTGATTTAAAGAAATCAATCTGTAATTTGCTCTGCAATTTGCCTCCCTAGTTATCATCAGTGGTATCAGTATTAAAGGGCTAGAATATTAAAAATCCATAGAATCTAACAGACCTGGAAAGTATACAGAATTTTTCAAACATCACTTCTTCTTCAAAGGAATAAATATCTCACCTTTCTCTAACATGTATTTCATGCAAGTTTGAAAACTATAACCTGGTATGTAGTCTCTAAGGATTATCTCATAAAATCATTGCCTTAAATTTTGAACAAGAACATAGAGGCCTAAAGCTTTCTGTTGAAGGCTGGAGCTAACCTGTACATTTCAAAATGAGTAGACAATAATTACAAGCACAAGACATTATGACCATAATTTATGCATGAATGTATTTCTATGCATAATATAGAAGTCACACCCAAGAATGCATATCTATAAAAGAAAAGCTTTTAAATGCAATGTCTTTATCTGTTGCCAGGCTTTTTCTATCAACACTCATGCTACTTTTGTTTATTTATTTTTCCATATGGTTGAAAGCAGGAAAGTGATAGCATATAAGGAAAAGCTTGAACCTGAGAACAATTTCATCTGTTAATTAATTTCTCCCTCTGGGAATTAGGAAAAGCCACCAATATTTGGTTGTACTGACAAAACACTTCAACCCAACTCTCATTCTACAGGAAATGAGAGAACCACCACTCTTGGAGGTGTGAAAATGCTCCTGTAGAGGGGGCATCATTTACACGGCTTTGACTTCAGCTAACCTTGGTATTCTTTGGAATATGCATACATACGGCAAAAATGAAACCAAATGAGAAACTGTAACTGCTTTACTCCGGGACTGACTTTATTTAGTAAACAAATGCACAGGGCAATCCCAGATTTTCCAATTCTTATGAGCGTCTATTCTCCTCTTATCGAAGAGGTTATCATTAAATGTTGAATGTTGCCCTTTTCATAATTAATAACTCTGGTGGGTGACAATGAAACACTCTTTAAGAGGAAGCCCTGATCGATATCATCCCTAAATGATGAAATTCTACTTAGAGGCTCTTCAAGTTCTTACAAAGAATACTGGTGACTTTGAAGTACCCAATCTATCCCATGCATTACCTGTAGAAGGTCTTTTTGAGCTAGATCCCATTTCTTGATTCCATTGTCTCTGGACCCACTATAGAGGTTATCCCCTTGCATGGTTAGTGCTTCAATGCCATCATAATGAGGGGGCTCGAAATTGTGGGTGGGACTCACAGTTCCAAGAGCGCCTTCAGTTACATCAAACATCTAAAGAAGAGCAGAAAGAAAGCAGTCACCCTATTTAACTTACAAATAAGCACCTATATGTGTTCATTCATAGAAACACATGCAGATGTATATTAACCAGACATCATTTGTTTCGCTGTGATATTTTACTAAGTTAACTAAAAAAACCTGCTATGAATGACTGAGAATGAACCTGAGCCCTATTTTCACATTACTTTTGCTTACACGTTAGGCTTTTAATTTTTTCATGTATGAGTGCACAAATGGTATGTTCAATAATAAAAATACTGTATGTCAATCCAGTTGCAATTCAAATAAGTGACATGATGGTGATTTCAACACTGTTAGGTAACTCTCTGGTCCTGGTGGTCCTCGCAAATACCCCAGAGCTGCTATTCAGAACTTTTCACTCCCCTCAGTTGCCCTCATCTCTCTCAGCTGTTGACCTTGTGATGTCCTGCAAAGGCGAGTCTGATCAAAAATAAACTTTCTGGACCCTCCCCCCAGTTACAAAAGTTTCTTTTATCCTCAGACATTCTCCTACCCATCCTTTCTTTTCAGCTGCTAAAGTGCACTTACTTCTTTCCAAGGTTCACGTCTTCGATCTGACTATTTTTGATCTGATTCATCAATTGCCACCGCGTCTCTGTTCCCACTTCCCGTCTCCACAGAGCCCATCCGCTAAGCATTTAAACACGCTCAGTCTATAGAATACAAAATCCTCTCCCCTTAACCACTCTTTTCAAGTCACTAACCCATCTCTCATCTCTTAATCAAAGTTCCTTAAAAAGGAGTACCTATATGCTTCCTAGCTCTCTTCATTGCCGTATCCTCTTTGATTCCTGTTGGTTCTTATAGGATTCCCCAAGGCTGAGAGTCATGCCAGCTTCTCGCTCCTTTGGCCATGTCAACTACTCTAACTCCTTGAACATCTGCTCCTATTTGACTGGCTCTGAAACACACATATCTGATCATAACTTATCTTGAGCCCTGGACTTGCCTTTCAAATGACCTCCTGGCCTTCACGAGGAAACCCTCCTAATATTAGCATCTCAAACTTAACATCTCCAGAATCAAACTATGCGTCTCTCCTCATCTTATCTGCTACTTGCATAAAGTCCGAAGACCATAACATGTCCAGTATAAAAGATGGTGACGATGGGACTTAAGCATTAGTTGGATGACTGAGCCAAGAAATTTTTAAAATCCCTCCCAACCTATCTTCTATGAAAAGTGGTCATACATGTTTAAATAATAAGACAATAAAATCAGGAACTATGAGTGAGGAAGATCAGGAAGAAAAAGCAAAGGCTAGAAATGAGAAAAAAAGAAAACTGATTAAGAGAAAAGGGGTCCTACGTGTATCCGAATACTTTAACTCTATCATTTAATAGGAGAATATATTTCAACAACTCTGTTATACACACTTTGATGTAGTGATCCTTGGAACCGGTGATGATTAGGTCTTGTCCGCTGGAAATCTGATCTACAATAAGACACATAACAGGGCCTAGGTGTCCTGTTAACTTTCCTGTGGACTGAAACCTTTAAGAAAAAAAAAAAAGAAAGAAAAATAATTTTGTTTGAAAATATCTCTTAGCATGCTCAGCAAAATAATCTATATTCTTTGATAAAGCTGCTCATTCATTTTCTTTTTGATTTAACACCACCTCTACACAACTCCGCTCAAATTAACAGTCAAAAAATGGCCAAACTATGATGGAAGTGTCAGGAGTCCTAAACTAGTTATTCCAAAGTGACTAATGTCATTCAGGTAGTAAACAAAATGGCATCAAAAGTCCAAAAACTTGGCTACAGGTTAATTTTAACTGCAACCTAAGTCCAGGTAAACTTTAACCTGTTAAGTGTCTAGACATGTTATAGACATATGACTGATGTTATCAGGCCCAATGTGAAATTCAATTAAAACAACATGTCACTGGTATAACTAGAAAATAACAATATGGAGAAACTAAGATTATTTTATTACATATATTTTCACATATACACACACACATATATGTACACCCATCTTATATACACATGCATACACATATACACATACACGTATAGGTACTATGTACCCATGTACACCAGGAAATAGGTAGTCCATTACATCAATTATTTTAAAGATATGAAAATGACCTGGAATATATCTGAATGGTAGAAAACCATATGATGTCAATTATCAGGGGGTGACAATGAACCTTTGTTTTATAGTTGTGCCTCAAATCGAGCTGCTGGGATACAGAGATATATTTGGTTTCTAGAATATTACCACTTCTTGAAGACTCTTTTCTTCGTTACTTTGTTAAGATGAATCTGTATTTAATCATGCTGCTGAAATCAAGCAGGTTTCAAAGGATCTAACTTTTCAGCAGAAAAGAAAGTGTAAATTTTTTCAAAAGCTGATCTTTTCTGCTTCATGTTATGACTAAGTTACTTCCTCCATGGTGCTCTGACTACAAGTTTAGTATCTTCAAGAATAAACCAGGTCTTCCTCTCTTTCCTAATTTTCTTAAACAAGCACTGTTTTTATTTTTCTACTTTTTATTTTTAAAACAGTACTCAGGACTGTGTTTCTTCTTTCTCTTTCTCTCTCATTTATTTATATATAAATTAGATTTATTATACTTTCCCATTCATGCATTAAAATATTACAAGTTATAACTAGTTATTCTCAAAATTTCTAAAATAAATTTCCCTTTTATTTACCACTAACAAATTCCTTCTAGATTGGATTACTACCTGAATTACCTGAATTGCAAACTTTACTCAGCATCCTATAATTGCTGTTCAATGGCCTTTATCCTCCATTACGAGATGAGTTCTAAGAAGGTGGACCCCACGTTTGTCTGGCTCAGTCCTTATCCCCAGTACCTACCACAGTGTTGGTACAGTGTCTGCTATAATTGATCTTGAATAAATATTTGTTAACTAATAAATTAATATTATCTTGATGCCAAAATTTAAAGAGCTAAAATAAACACTGAAATGAAGGATAAAAGCTCATACTTCAATTTATCCTTTTTCTCTTTTTACTCACTTCATCTTCTTAATACTTCATCTCTTATATACATTATTTCATATTCACCAAAATCCTATGGGGGTTTATGTGCAAAGTTGTAAAGTTTATAAACTGAAAAATTTGAGATACAAGATGCATGATTGATGTTACAAAAAATAATTCTTTCAAAGGTATTGATGCAGTTAGGATGAGAATCTTGGTCTCTTCCTAGTAAACAACTTGTAGACACACATTAAGAAAGGCTATTTTCCTTCACATACATTTTTCCCAGCAATGGAGATTAAAGAAAGGAAAACTGTGAGTTTGCTAATGAGGACAGAAGAGACATTTGGGAGTGTTGGACTAAACAGAAAAGCCTACGATTTTACATTAACTTCTGGGGTTATAAAAATTAGATTTCACTTGCACTAATGATGAGTGAAAAACTATATTTGCCATACACAAGAAATACATTTTCCTTTCAAATTCTACCTTTTAAGATCCCACATTCTGACTGCATTTCCAGAAGCTGCGTAGAGGAAGGTGCCAGTTGGGTTTAGTGCAATCTGATTGATCTGGTTTTCCCCAGAAGGAATAGCAACTGTCCGGCTGGTACTTGCAGAACAAGCATCTCCAATAGTAACTTGACCTGAAGACCTTAACAGAGATGAAGCAAAGCAAGGTAAGTCACATTTCTGGACAAGAATTAGGCTTAGAATTCCTTAAATTCCTAGGAAACTGGCTGCAGGCAACAAGATCTGTGTTCTTTGGTCACTGTAAGCACCGTACCTAGCATAGCACTTCACACACACGTGGCTGGCATTTATAAATAAACATTCTGACAGATAAATGAATAAACCAGCAAAGAAAACAAGATGACATGGCTTAAAGCTCTTAATTTGCAAGTCTCTTAAACACTAGGAATTCTGGGTCCTGAGTTAGGGATGACTTCAATATGATTCAGAAAAGATTAGATGACAATGATTAAAAAACTCAACAAATGATACAGTGGCACAAAAGTAATTCATTTTCCTGCGGTTTCCAGAAGTCTCCTGAGGGGCAAGTCTACCAATATTCCTTTCATATGTGAGATCTGCCCTTTTGAGTTAAAGACATTGAGGACTTTAAAAATTATTTTCAGTTTTTGTTTACTTTAATCCAATCATATATGGATTATTTACTATTGCTTAAACATAACTTACTTCTATTTCCTCAGCTAAATTCTAAACAGCAAATGTATTTTTAAAATTTGGAAACATTTTCTCAACTAACTTCTAAAATACCAAGTTGTAATCAATCTTTTCAAATTTGATTTTAGTGAGTCAACTGGATGGGTCAATTTCTAACATAAGATAACAGTGTTCTTTTTCTACAAAATTTCCCTCAAGAGACTTGTATTCGCAGTACTAATTTAAATAATTAGTAGTTCTCAAAATGCAAAATGGAATTCAATGTTAGTAACCCCTACTCTACAAATTAGTAAAAACTAACCATTCCTATGCTCCCTGCTCTTATTTAAACCACCAGAGTTCACCTTAATTTTAATTATGTAAAACAGTTCATCAATCTTAAGGCACAAAGAGTCATCTGCTCTACATTTTAAAGATATAAATGATAAGAAACACAGAAAACAAACTCATCCTCCAATTATCCAGCACAACCTAAAGTTATAAAATACGGGCTAACACCAAGGCCGTGTTTAAGTCCTAAAAAAAAAACACAAAACGGCAACAACAAACTCTCAGTTATTCAATACACGCTAATTAAATGTTGCAAGTACTTCTTAACCATCTACAATGGTGATTTCAGCCATTTTCCAAGGAGTGGTGTTCATTTGAAGCAAGTAATGTAAATCATTTAACTATATAAGTAATAAGTACTATGAAAATTTAATTCCTTAGTTATTTGGGAGGGAGGAAATATGAAATGTGTACTTAGTCACAGATCAAGTAAGACTTCTCCCTTCCTGTTTAATATTGAGCTCTTACATATTATTTTCCCAATACTTTTTTTCACCTTACTTTATTGGCATTCTTACTGTAAACACTTAAATGTTCCTTGCAAGCAGACAGGTATAAATAAACAAAAATGCATTCACAGACCTATCTTTTCTCATATTTATAAACAACAACTCTTTGCCCCTTATGCTATTTGTCTTTAAGTGACTTACGTTAGCGTTCGAATGCACTTTGCTGAATCTCTGATATCCCACACCTTAATATAAGATGTGGACACTGTGAAGACCAAACTGGTATAATTACAGTATTTCACAGATACGACATTGTTGGGATGACCCCCCAGTGACATTATTTCCTGCCCAGTCACCAGATTCCATACTTTACAAGTACGATCTAAAAACAAACAAAAAAAGAGGAAATACTGTCAATATCAACTAAATTAGACTCTCTTAACAATAACAATTTCTCTTCTATGAGAAAAAGAAATGAGATAAGGAAACAGTAATTATTCCATTAACCTGAAACAGGCATCCTAACTCCATCCTTGGCACTTCGCAGCAGGTTCAAGGGCAAAGTACGTGTAAAGGATTGGATGAAAGCTAGGGATGTCCTGTGTATGCATTATGCGGTATTAAAAAAATAATTACACAGAATTTTGAATTAGACATGTGAAAAGAGTCTTGCTCCAAATTGCCCCTGAATTTTAAACAGCCATCCAAAACCAGCCTTTTCAAAATCCACTCTTAGCAGCTTACAACACTCCATACTCATAAATACACACGTTTCTTTTCCAGGAGTCACCGATTGATGGATTTTATCTTCGACTCAAAAATATAATCATAGAACTATTCTATTTTGTTTTTCTGATATGATGAATATGTAGTTATCCTGGAGGAATCAATTTAACTTGAATCATTAGAAAATTGTATTTTTACAGGGCAAATTTTTTAATGGGGGAACTGCTTGCCATTATTTACAATGCATAAGTTCTAGCTAGACTCTTATATTTCCCTCATAGACAATAAGCAAAAATGTTTGCTGATTAAACTGATTCTTGGAACATCCCTAAATGCTAAAAAACTTTAACTAGCTCCCCAAATTCCTATACATCCTTCCTTCTCATCCTCCGAGTCTCGTTGCCCATTGTCATATATATTCCACTTTTCAACTCAATTGGATTTAGTTTCCAAACTCATTTTTTTTTTAAGGATTAGTTTTATTCATTTATTTCCTCTTGGAAGAGGTACTGGGGATTGAACCCAGGACTTCGTGTATGTTGAGCATGTGCCCTACCGCTTGAGTTATACACCTCCCCCCACCAAATCCACTTCTACCTCCACGTCTCTGCTTATGCTCTTCTCTGATCTTGGTTGCCAGTCTTTATCTGTCAGTATCAACAATCTTGTAAGGCTCATCCTAAACACCTCCTTATCAAAGCCTTCCTTATTTTTTACAACTTGGCATAATCTCTCCCTTTTCTGAAACCCCAAAACTCTTAGTCTATAACTTTTCAAATCATTTGTAGCTGATTTTTCAGTTGCCTGCCATTATACCAAAGGGGCTAAGAGTGCAGGTTTGGAGACAAGTAGACCTAGTTTTCCAATCCTGGCTCTTCTACTTTCTAGCTAAGTTTATCTAGGGAAATTATTTAATTTCTTGAATCTTCAGTTTCTCCATCTGTAAAATGAGGATGCAATATGTACGTCATTGGGGTTGTTGTGAGAATTAAGTGAGATATAATTTGCATACTGTTCAGTATAGTCCCTGACATACAGTAACTGCTCAAGAGATGGTGGCCACTACCCATTCCATTCTCTTTAGCACACTGCACATTGCAATGGCCTTTTGTAGATTTTTACGCAGCCTGCATTGCTAAGCCCAGGGCTTTGCATACATCTGATGCTCAACTACTGAGGAGAGATGTATCCCCTCACCATTCTACTCACATAACATCAGCAGAGCTTTTACTTTCTTATCAACCATGCAATGATTTTATATTTTATATAATTCAGGAGTTGAACCAAATTATCTCTCAGATTCTTATGAGTCTTAAGCAGTTTGACTTTTTTTTCAATACCCATTCAACGTAATCATTTTTTAAAAGATGTGTTAAATATCCACATGACACAACAACTAGCACCTTTTGATCCAGTGAAGAGAAGATCATCAGTAGCATCCACACAGAGCACAGCTTTTGTGTGCCCTTCAGCTCTGTGCACACACTGAAGGGGGGACGTTCTGATTCCTTTTGAAGCGGGAAATGGGTTGATTATGCCCCTGAGGTGGGGGGGGGGGAGAAAACAAAGCTTTACTTCAGTAGCTATATCATAAAACTACTTCTTTTTTTTTTCTCTGACTTTAAGAAGTCTTTCCAAGTAGTCAGTAGTAATAAAATCCAGATTGCTCCCTTGTCTCTTTTTTTAAGCAAAGGGACACAGTGTGAAATAGTAAAAGCAGGGATGGCATGCACCAACTAATCAGGTATCAGCTAGCAGGTGCATTCTGCAAAGAGCAACGCCAGTGCTGCATCTGGATTTTCTTATTAATAATTTCATCTCTTGGAAATTTAATGAAGTAATATTGGGAGCTGTTCAAGGATAGTGAATTCTGACAGGTAAGAAAATATAAATGATGGTTAACTGGAAGGTGTGACTTCCTGTCAGGCTGGAGAAAGTATAACACATACCACCTAAAATACTAAGAAAGCAAATTTCAAACCAATTTGAAGAAATGTAAGAATATTTGCATAGACAGAAATTCTAAAGGGAGAATGGCTCAAAAATAGCAAAAACTTTAAAAACTCTCAACAGTCTCAAAGAAAAAAATGTTTTTAAAGAGTAAAGTTTTAAAAGAACAGTGAGGCTCTTTAGGGAGCTTTCTCACAAATTTAATATTTCTGAAGTTTCTGCTTTATGCCATTGGACTATGAACTACGGAAATACAAAGTTTATCAAAACATTGTCCTTATCCTAAAGGAATTTAAGACAGGATCTGAATTGAAATAGCTGTATGAGGAAGACTGACGGTGAGCGTGAATTAAGACATGATAAATATATAAGTTGAATGTAACTTTGCTCAGAGCAGGAAGAAAAATTATGCTGAAATATGACCATTATCTAAGACAGATGGCATCATATTATGGCAGATACAGGGATAAAACAAAGCTGTCTGTTTCCATCTTCTTGATGAATGAGAACAACCTTCAAGATGCAAGGGGCAGAAATCATTAAGAAGAAACGTAAGCCCAAGGTAAGTCAGAACTGATAATGAAGACTCATTCAATGAATTCAAGTATTTCTGTTTCTGAATCATTGTATCACAGTGTTTTGAAGGTATACACCATTGTGGAGGCAAAGTCATTGTTGGTACACTAAGAGGATCAATAAAGGAGATAAAACACATAGACCCAATTTTCTAGAAAGAAGAAAAATAGTGGATTTCAGAGATTACAGATGGGTAAATCTTGTTGAGTCTCACAGAAGAAAACATTAAATAATTATAAACACTAAAATGCTCATCTGTAAGAGGTAATGTGAATTCACTAATCTCATGGGAGAAGTTCTTTGTAGAATTAATAGGGAGCATATTAGAGGAATATCATATTCACAGTATATGTTGACTCCAAAAAGGTCCATGTAAAAAGCTTTTCAAATGACATCCTTGAAGACGAGGTGAGTAAGTAAAAAACTATTGTAGTAAGTAAGGTAGTTCCGTCAGTGGCTGAAGAATCACACCTAAAGAGTCAATGTTCCTATCAGTCTTGGAAAGAGGTCTTCAGTATCCAGTCAATCTTTCCTCAGAAACAAAGATAGATAATGGCATGTTGATTAAATTGATATATTAAAGAGATGTACTGCCTAGAAAAATTACAAACAAAATTCATTTAAGTATATACTTAGCACTAAAATATTCACTGGAAAAAATTTAAACATGAAATTTAAGTTGAAGATAGAAGAGAATGCTCCTAGTAGGAAAGAGGCTTAACTCGATTTTACAAGCTAAAGAAATCTGTTTATTGATATGAGATCAGTGGATTAACAATTTTTGATTCCTCTACCAATGTTTTCAATGACTTGTGCAATAGAAGCAAATATTTCAGAAGAAAGCAAGAGAGTTACTATATCCTGCTGAGGCCACATCTGGAGTGAGGTTGAACTCTGGATGCCACATTCTAAGAAGAACTCTGAAAAATGGGAGATTTTCCAAAACTGTGGAAGCAGAAAGAAGGATCCTAGACTGTATCATATTAGGAACAGATAACTCTAAAACTATTAGATGATAAGAGAACCTTCATTCGAGAGCGCATACAAAAGCACAGGTAAATGGCTGAATAAATCTTTGTAAAAGATCTGTCACATACCCACAAAAAGATGTGCTGGATTAATACTGTAGCTCAAGAGAGCTGATGAAAGACCAATGAATAGAATTTTAAAGGAGGTAAATTTAGGCTCAGGATTTTTAAAAATCCTTCATTTTTAAGGTTTAGTTATAATGATTTCAAAAAACAAAGGGAGTTCCTCATTACTAGAAACAATACCAGGAAGTGTTATCATATGGATATGTAATTACAAAATCCAAAGTATTATTTGCATACATGCATCAATTTGAGATTTTTGAAATTAATACTCAGTAACTTGTTGGTAATCTAAGAATTTAACCAGAACTGAAATGGGAGCAAAACCTCCTCAAAAGTCTGAATCTGCCATTTTGAAACCCTAACTGATGTGGGGTTTAAAAGCTATGAACTGAAGCCATCAAATTATAACTATTGCTTCAAATGTTGAAAAGTTACAATCTAATACACAGGCAATTGCTACTTACTTTGAAAACAGAATATATATGTATGTATGTATGTATGTATGTATATCCCAAGAAGCTGATTATAAAGAAAAAAAAATCCATGTTAACAGCTGAAGAGTTGCATGATCTGCATTTAATGACACAAATCATCGTAAGGGGAAAAAAAAACTAAACGGTACCCTCATTTATATAATACTATGTCTCCAAAAACTTTCCTTCATTCAGATTACTTTCTTTTTCCTAAGAATCTATTAAGTGTTTCCTTCATGACATAATGTCCAACACAATTCTATCATGCCAAAGGTTGTAATATTATAAAAGTAAATATTTGCGTCCAGTGACTTATGTACAGCACAGCCTTAGAGACCAGGATGTCTCTTTTTCATTCTTACATGTTTTATTTTTTGAGACCTTTGAAGAAAAAGAATTTCAACACTAAATAGAGCATTTTATTCACTAGATACTGAAAAATACTCATATATTCAGAATATTAGGGTTAATATTTTATAAAGATTACCTTACACCAAAGATAATAGAAAAAAATACAGAAATTGGAAATAAACATCTATGGTATTTCTTTTCTATTAAAATTAATCTATTCACATTCTGAAATATATAAATCAAGTTTAAAATAGTTTAAGTTAAGGTTAAATATTGCAAACTTATACAACAGATCTGATCTGAAGGAAAAAAAAATGCTTATTTTTGTTCCATGCAAAACCAGTAAAGCCTTGGAACGCTGTAAGTAAGATTAATTTCCTCTCCCTCCCCCTGCCTACCTTCTGGAGGATCTACTGGTGATCAGGAAAATGGCCATAAAACATGGGGAGAAAGTGCAAAGAGAAAGGAGACAAAATGATTAGTGGAAAGAGGAAATGATAGAAAGAAAAAGAAATTAAGAGTCCAAAAAATTCCGTAACATGAAAAAAAAGCAACATTGTTATTTCTAAAATAGCATTTACTAGTTAAAAAATTTATTATTTTCAAAAACTCCTTTTCTTTCTATATTTTAGGTACCATAGTATCCTTTTTCCCGTAGCGTACCTTTTTTCATCACAAAGCCTGCCATAAACTTCTCATTTAAAATCGATAAACCAATATAAAAAACTTCTTCACCTCCCACACTTTGAGGGGGCAATATTCATTGAGGAAATTAATTTTCATTGAACTTAACTTCTTTTAAAGAAAACTTTTTAGATTACAGACAGAAAACAAATAGCACAAGTTTTTATGCCATTATACAAAAAAGCCTGCTACTACCTTGTCTGAGAGTTATGGTCACAAAAATATATTTTATATATATATTAAAATTAATGGTTAAAAATATTAGTGCATTGACATTTACCAGTTATGAATGCAACAAAAATGAGACTTGCTTAAAGTTTCTAGGAAGGCATTTTAGGTCATCAATGAAAGGCCAGAAAGTAGGAAAGATA